TGCTAATGTCAATAATAATCCTATCCCTAACCCCAACCCTAGTCCTACCCTACGCATTACCCTTATTTCTAACCATAAAACTAGTCGAGATTACAATATTACCAACAACCTACCACACCTATTTTTGGAAGAGTCTATTATCGGACATCGGTATCTTAAATCATCAAGTGAACTAAACGTCGTGCAAAAAATCATTATGGTCTTGGAGCGTACAGCTGATGTTTTGCTATTAGTATTTTGACATTACTAATTATTTCTTGACCTGGGCTTGTAATTTTTTCATTCAGACTAATAATCCAACGTTAAAGCTGTTAAAAAAACGGTTACACTCGAATTTATATCAAGGGAGACTGAAGACTATATTATGGTCTAAATATGTCGAATTTTTCTGCTTTCTATGTCACTTGAGAGCGATTTTGTTATCTGTTCAATACACAGCCAGGAAGTCATGGAAGTCCTACAGACTCCTACTGCTTACTTCAGTCAGATATATCATAGTTTTTAGACTCATTAATATCCTGCTTACTTCAGTCAGTTACATCATAGTTCTTAGACTCATTAATGTCATGCTTAATTCAGTCAGTTACATCATAGTTCTTAGACTCATTAATGTCCTGCTTACTTCAGTCAGTTACATCATAGTTTTTAGACTCATTAATGTCCTGCTTACTTCAGTCAGTTACATCATAGTTCTTAGACTCATTAACGTCCTGCTTACTTCAGTCAGTTACATCATAGTTCTTAGACTCATTAATGTCCTGCTTACTTCAGTCAGTTACATCATAGTTTTTAGACTCATTAATGTCCTGCTTACTTCAGTCAGTTACATCATAGTTTTTAGACTCATTAATGTCCTGCTTACTTCAGTCAGTTTCGACATAACTGGTGGACTCATGAATATCATGAAAAAAATATTTCTCGTTGCTCTAACAGTTTCTTTTCACTACTGTAACATTTTTAGAAACTTCTGTAACCGTTTGATAGGTTGTAGGTCGTCAATCTGTTTAATAGATATGATGTAACTGACTCTGTAAGACGTCCATAACTCTAACAGCTATGATGTCAATGACTCCATTCTATAAGAAGTACATGAGTCTACTAGCTATGATTTAACTGACTCTAATAAATAAGACGGCTATGTATAATGCAACTGACTCTAAGACCACAACGGGTTTGTCAGAAGTGATCATCATTTCCCGTTCGTGCCCAAGACACATGGGGCAGGTGAAGTAGAGTTCATCTGCTTCAGGTTACCTCGGCTTATGCCCAGCCGCCTTTGTTTCACTAATGTTAGTTAACTAACGAAAGTTAGGTAACCATCAGAGCTTGGCGGACTCAGGGACGTTCCACTAATTTGAACCCGGATTCGAACTCGAGACTCTCGGGTTAGCAGGCTAGCTCTCTACCGCTCGGCCACGCCGTTCCCTAACCGACATTTAGTCCACTTAAATCTGGCATTATATATATTATTTACAGTGACAACACCTCTCGTTTCATAATTCTGCCTAAATAAAAGAAACATTTTGTGCAACGTAATATAATGTAAAAAAAATTTCTGACTCACAAATGGCGCACGTTTATCTTATTGTGGATGTCAAAAATGGTTGACCCCTTAGGCCACTATCAGAAACCAATGTGTATGGCGCTCTTGAAGTTTAGGGAACTTGAGAGGTATTCAAAAGATTAAACACTTCGTCAACAGTCACATCTCAGTGAAGTATTTGTTATTTTTTCTAATTGAATTCTATTTGAATGTTGTTTCATTCTCATTGTGAACAAGTGTAAATGTAATTGATAAACAAGGGTTGGAAAGGCGGGTACATAAACACTTAGATAATTTACATAATAAGGCATTATCAATAGAAGTTGAATAATGGTTCTAAATATGAAAATTTAAAAAAACACCAAGCCATATTTCATAATTTTCAAAAAAACTTTGAAAAACAATATTAATTGCAGCAAACATGGAACAGTGTAGAGCACTAGACTGGTAACCCAACGTCTCGAGTTCGAATCATGGTTTAAAGCATGCAACAACCCTGAGTCGACCCAGCTGTTTTTGGTACCGAACTCATGTTAGGAAATGTAGAGGCGGCTGGGTCTAGTGCTGAGCACATTATTCCCTCATATGCCGAAATCACAGAAGCGGGTGAACTCTACTTCACTTGTCCCATGTACCGTTAGCTTCGAAAAGAGACGTTCATTTTACTATTACACCTGTTTGGTTTTATCCAAGAAGTTCTAATATTTTTTTTATCTCATTCGTGTTACGTCCCTTATTATTTTGTGTATCGTAGTTACGTCCCCTGTATAACTGATCAGAGGCGTAGCGACCCATTCCGGCACCCGGGGCGAACCATCCATTTTGCGCCCTCTCGCTAATGTGTATATATATATATATATATATATATATATATATATATATATATATATATATATATATATATATATATATATATATATATATTGTTATTCAAGTTAGTGAACCCCCCACCCAGTTGGAAAGGTAGGTGGCGTTTTTAACCAGTCACTATGTTTAACTGTTTATATTATGGTGCCTCACAGTTGATGTACAATTGTATATATAATTCAATACCCTACTTAAAATCAGCTTTTTTTTTAACCTTACTGGCGCCCCCTTAGGGGCTCTACATGTCGAGCCAGAAACAAGACGTGCCGTCTAAGCTGTCTACAATAATTAAGTACCATGGTTAACTCAGAGAAATGTTTAAGTCATGTACCTTGATACCAAACGTATTCCATACCTCTTCCGTCATTTCAATTTAATGTACATTTTTTTTAAAGTTACAATTTTTAATAGGGCATTTGAAGAATTTTAAATCATATTTCAGATTTGTATACACGGTCACTAAACAAGTGATTTATCTCCGAATGTCTGGTGAATGTGTTGAGAACATTTTGTATCACTTCGGTGCTACTTTTAAGCAACTATTACATTAAATAGAGACAACATCACCATCAAATGAGATGAACATCTATCATTTTGTACCGATGACGATACTTTAAATTTAAAATAAATATTACTCCAGTTTTGTCTGTTCAAGAAAATAAATGCATATATATTCTTGATCATAGAACAGCGTAAGGGCGATAACCGTGTAAAAATGCTTTATCTTGATAGTATAAACTAATAGCAGTTGTCTCTCTTGAAAATATTTCAACCCTTCCTTTTATACAATACTATTTGTTGTGTAGACCTTAGAAAAATCAGAGGGGAGTAGTAGTTATATCATCACATACTACAGCTGCTATTTATTTGCATTTCCTTGTCGGATGTTTCTCTTGCAATACCTTGATGTGATAATAAGCTCATATTTAATTTTCAAAAAAAAAAAAAATATGACTAGCCTTTTGCACTTAATATTTTTATTATTTCAGACAGAAAGATATAAACTTCAAATAGTCGCATCATAAGCTGGAATTTTTTTTTTCTAATCTTTTCAAAAAATCAACTAATTAGAATTAGTTTTTTTTATAGCATGGCACATATGTGTGTCAATCTATATATATATATATAATCCTCTACGTAACCCAACCATGCGGAACACCACACACACACGCCGACTCTCTAACCCTCCGCTCGCCCCCCTCCCTCGCTCTCCAGGCATGCGCAACAGTGTGTACCCACCCACCCCATTTGGATAACTGTGTCTATCATGAGGTCTTCACCCCGTCACTACATAGCGGCGTATGGTACGCCGCGAGTCGGCTCGTTTATTTTAATCGTCGTAGTTTTCACAAAGGAGAGTGCTGTGATGCAGAGGCGTAGCGAGGGGGGGGGGGGGGGCGGGGTGTTGCGGACCGCACCGGGTGACACCATTTAGGGGGGGTGACACCAAGGCAAAAATAGTAAAATATGTAGAGAAAAATTTGAAGGGGGGGGGGGGGTGCAAATCGAAAGTTCGAAAATTTGAAAGTTTGTCGCTACGCCTTTGGGGGGGGGGGATGACACCATCAAGTGCCGCACCGGGTGACACCCCACCTCGCTACGCCACTGCTGGGATGTAAGATGAGATGAGGACAGGGTCGACGATAAACAAACACGAAGTCCGTGAATGATTGACTTCATTGTTTGAAAGTACGTACGAGACCTAGGCTGCCAATTAGAGAATAGATCCACAAACTTTTCCAATCCCACATTTTATACCCTAGTTAACCTCTAAGTTTCCTTTGCTATTTATCACTACCCTCCCAATCGTTCCTATGCTACATAATTGTGTGTACTGTTTGTTTACATTCTTTAATCTCAATATAATTAAAATAGACTATAGTTTGAAGGGTAATGAAAACATGTAAACAAAAGGGACGCTACTCTAAATCTACGCTTATATTTATACGTAACAATCCTAACAGTGAGCTTTGGTTATTTAGACTGACCGGAATATCCAATCGCGTAGCGATTGTATAAAAGATGTTTTAGTAGCCCGTCCCTGAGTACACCCAACTCTGAGGGTAGCATACCTGACGTACGTTAGGAAAACTAACTTTCTATTACCCAACAGTCTAAAACACACAAAGTAATAGAGCTGGTAAGTATGTCACCAACCAGTTCTTTGGCTCATGCAGGTTTTATTGAGCCGTATAACTGGTTGATGACCTACTTACCAGCCCTATTACTATAATAATTACCCCTCACATGAGAATACTTATCATATTTGAAGTTGGTAAAGTGAGATTTAATATCCTACACAACGCCTAAAATGAGTTGAAACAGATTGTAAAATAAATCCTATTTCGTACTGGTTACGAACAGGAAAAAAAATAGTTACACATATTAACAATTAAATTGTGCCAAAATTTATCCCTTGTAGAATCTAGTTTCAATGAAACATTTGAAGTGAGAAATACATATGTAACGTTTTCGTATGTATTCAACAAGGTTGTCGTAAGAATGTTTAGCTATGCCTTCCCTTTTTGCGCACCGTTCATTATTGTAAATGTTTTATTTTAGTCGTGCAAGCCGCGCACATTCATCTTGTCAGTAGTAAACATCACTGTTTACTTCCGCCCTTAAGGTTTCAGGAAAAAGGAGAGTAGTATTATCCATCAAATTAAACAGGTAAGTTTGACAATATTAGAAAAAATAGTGTCGCAGCTAAGATACGCTGTTCTTCTTCTTTTTTTATTGTAATGTTGGAATGGGTTCCCTCCAACACGATTTAGTATACGTGTCAACTTGTTATGTGCCATTTAGACTTTAGACCGTTGACTCCGATTTCAGCCTTCTTTTCTTTTTCGGATTTGCTTCCATTTCCATTTGGCAAATCAAGAACAAACTACAAGGCAACAGTTGTTTGATTTTGTAGTCGTCTCTTCTAGAAGGGTTGCTATCCCAAGCTATCCCAAGCTATTAAGCCTCCTCTGCCCGGGGGGGGGGGGGATTCGAAAACAATACTTTTCGGATTAGCAACCACGAGCTTAACCGACTCGACAACGCTAATCCCAAATCGTAAGATTTGAGCTAGAAATGCTAAACACTCAGCTGTCTATATCAGTGTGTCGCAGCGTTATAGATTCTAGAAATAACAACAGATAGACACAACTTTTAATTAAGTTAGATTATCCGTGAGATTAGCCGTAATCAACTGATTTACACAACTTTTGATTAAGTTAGATTAGCCATAATCAACAGATTAACACAACTTTTGATAAATTTAGCTAAGCCGTTAGATTAGCCGTAATGAACAGATTAACACAACTTTTAATAAATTTAGCTAAGCCGTTAGATTAGCCGCAATGAACAGATTAAGAATTTTGATTAAGTCAGATTAGCCCTTAAATTAGCCGTAATCAACAGATTAACACAACTTTTGATAAATTTAGATAAGCCGTTAGATTAGCCGTAATTAACAGATTAATAATTTTGATTAAGTTAGATTAGCCGTTAGATTAGCCGTAATCAACAGATTAAGAATTTTGATTAAGTTAGATTAGCTGTTAGATTAGTCGTAATCAACAGATTAACACATCTTTTGATTAAGTTAGATTAGCCGTTAGATTAGCCGTAATCAACAGATTAACACAACTTTTGATTAAGTTAGATTAGCCGTTAGATTAGCCGTAATCAACAGATTAACACATCTTTTGATTAAGTTAGATTAGCCGTTAGATTAGCCGTAATCAACAGATTAAGACTTTTAATTAAGTTAGATTAGCCGTTAGATTAGCCGTAATCAACAGATTAACAAAACTTTTGATTAAGTTAGAATAGCCGTTAGATTAGCCGTAATCAACAGATTAACAAATATTTTAATTAAGTTAGATTAGCCTCTAGATTAGCCGTAATCAACAGATTACCACAACTTTTGATTAAGTTAGATTAGCCGTTAGATTAGCCGTAATCAACAGATTAACACATCTTTTGATTAAGTTAGATTAGCCGTTAGATTAGCCGTAATCAACAGATTAACAAAACTTTTGATTAAGTTAGATTAGCCGTTAGATTAGCCGTAATCAACAGATTAACAAATATTTTAATTAAGTTAGATTAGCCTCTAGATTAGCCGTAATCAACAGATTAACACAACTTTTGATTAAGTTGGATTAGCCGTTAGATAAGCCGTAATCAACAGATTAACACATCTTTTAATTAAGTTAGATTGGCCGCTAGATTTGCCGTAGTTAACAGATTAACACATCTTTTAATTAAGTTAGATTAGCCGCTAGATTAGCCGTAATGAACAGATTAACACAACTTTTTATTATTTTAGATTAGCCGTTAGATTAGCCGTAATCAACGGATTAAGAAATTTGATTAAGTTAGATTAGCCGTTAGATTAGCCGTAATCAACAGATTAAGACTTTTGATTAAGTTAGATTAGCCGTTAGATTAGCCGTAATCAACAGATTAACACATGTTATGATTAAGTGCGACACTTAGACCTAGACACACCACTATGTGCTGCTCCCCACGATTCTAACAAAGGATAATTGAGATTTAGATCAGAGGTGTAGCTACCCTTCCCGGCGCCCGGGGACAAACTTTCAATTTGGCGCCCATTTCCCCCCCCCCCCCCCCTTCCCCATCGGGAACAAACTTTCAATTTGGCGTAATATAAAACGTATACGTTTGTCAAGGAAGTTAACTCTTGTAAGACTTAGGTGGATTATCTACACAGTACACGCCCATCACTTATCACTGCAGGTTAATCAGTGGCCCATGACTAGATGGAACCTGATACAGCTCATACTAGCACCGCATTGACAGGGGCTATTAAAAGAAATGTTACAGACAAATAGGCAGTAATAACCAAAGAGCAAAAATTGACAGGGTCATATATAGAAATACTGGACTTTGACAACACCACATACAGAAATATCGAAAGTTGACGCGAACACAGGGAGTTTTACATGGAATACCGGGAAACTAAAAATTGACAAGATCTCATAGAACAAAAAATATGGGACGGCGTGGCCTAGAGGTAGAGCGCTAGAATGCTAACCCGAAGGTTTTGAGTTCGAATCCGGGTTCAAGTCACATGAACGTCCCTGAATCCCTCCCCCCCATCCCCCCCCACTCTAATGGCTAACTCACGCTAGAGAAAGTAAAAACTGCTGGGCATAGTGCTGACCAAACTCTCCTTTCATAATCTGAGGTCAAGAAACACGAAAGCTGATTTATCTGCCCAATGGAAAACAATATTTGTAGAGGAATGTTTACATAGGTTATAAGTCCAAGTTAACTTGACACTTTAATATTTATTTCATTTTTTGCTAATTTTTCAGAGCACGTTTTAAAATCCCCGCGCCGTTTTGCTGTTAGTCTTGATCATGTATTGGTATAGAATGCCGACATCACACACTATAATGATCTATATCACACGATATCACACACTATACTGATCTATATCACACGATATCACACACTATACTGATCTATATCACACGATATCACACACTATACTGATCTATATCACACGATATCACACACTATACTGATCTATATCACACGATATCACACACTATACTGATCTATATCACACGACATCACACACTATACAGATCTATATCACACACTATACTGATCTATATCACACGATATCACACACTATACTGATCTATATCACACGATATCACACACTATACTGATCTATATCACACACTATACTGATCTATATCACACGATATCACACACTATACTGATCTATATCACACACTATACTGATCTATATCACACGACATCACACACTATACTGATCTATATCACACACTATACTGATCTATATCACACGATATCACACACTATACTGATCTATATCACACACTATACTGATCTATATCACACGACATCACACACTTTACTGATCTATATCACACTCTATACTGATCTATATCACACACTATACTGATCTATATCACACGATATCACACACTATACTGATCTATATCACACACTATACTGATCTATATCACACGAAATCACACACTATACTGATCTATATCACACGAAATCACACACTATACTGATCTATATCACACGGTATCACACACTATACTGATCGATATCACACACTTTACTGATCTATATCACACAATGTCACACACTATACTGATCTATATCACACGATAAATCACACTATATACTGATCTATATCACACGATATCACACACTTTACCTGATCCAGCTGTTTAATTTACTGACCGAGATTAAAGCTGTTTTGTGAAAAGGTTGCTGTTCCATCAAGACAATTAGTCCAAATCCACACAACGTTGAAATAAAATCTTAAAAGCCGTTCGCGAATATTTTTTCTAAAAATGTTTGGCACGTATTGTCTCATGTGAATATTTTCTTATCATTCAATTCTGAATGCGTTTGAGTTAATTTTAAATTTAAATTTCAGATTTATAAACACAATGGGCAAACAAGACGTTCGTGCCCAGATATTCAAAGGTCTGGAGAATGTGTGGGATGAAAACATTTTATTTGACTACGCTGTGAAAGTTCAGGATGAAACCATTCAATGTCATCGACTCATCCTAGCGGCGTGTTCAGAATTTTTCAAAGCGCTGTTTAGGTCTGGTATGAAAGAAGTCACAGAAAACTTGTGTGTTTTAAATGATGTTTCGTGTGAAATTTTCCGGATGATACTCAACACACTGTACAGCGGTGAAATTGTTTTAACTTTAGGAAATCTCTTTGAGGTTTGGCGATGTGCGAACATGCTGCAAATACGTTTTTTAGTCGATTTGTGTGAGAGCTTTGCTATTGAAAATACAACAGTAGATACATGGGTGAACATGTATACAAATGCTAAGCGTTTTAACATAAAACGAGTACTCGATCACCTCCATATATTCATGTTAAAAAACTTCGAACACATTAGAAATTCAACAATATTTCTACAAATGTCTTTTAATGAAGTTCGTGATTTGATAAAAAGCCAAGATCTAGTTGTCTACAAAGAAGATTTAGTTCTTAAATCAGTAATCAAATGGGCCGAGTACTCACCTGATACGAATTCTGATTATAATGAGAGTATCGAAGGACTTAATGAAATTGTTTGCAAAAGTGTCAATCAAAACCAAAACAAACACCCTAAGCTTGATGCAGATAATACATGTTCTACCACAACACTTCATCCGTGTGTTACTGAGCGTTCGACCAGAATAGAAAAACTTGCAGAGCTTTTGAAGTTAGTGAGAATCAGTCTTGTAAGTCCGGCTGTTTTATTTCACGTCTATAACTTGGACATTCTGTCGGGAAATAATGACTCAAAAAATATCATTTCCAACGCTTTAACCTATAACCTGCAAGATTTTAAACACGGTCAGTGGCCATCATCAGCTATACAAAGATCTTGTAGCCGGTACATAAATGCTGGAGTTAATACAAGTAATGGACGGTTTGAAGTTCAATGCGCATCCGACGAAAAGTTGTATAAAATGTTAAAATGTACACTTTTACAGCACAATATTCAGCTTGTTTGTTTTGAGGGTGAGTTATACGCCACAGGAACAGAAGAGAACCTGCCATTTGAACCGTGTCGAATGTTTGTGTTTAGTGACAACAATTGGAATAAAGTGATAGACCTGCCAAGTGACAATTTGTTGTTAGCTGCACACGGAGACTTTATTTACATTTTAAACATAGATGATAAGTCCGTAAATACCATCAACCCGAAAAGGGAAAATCCTAATTTGGAACTATTAACTGACTTCCCAGAAAATGTAGATGTTAAACACGCCATGTTTCTAGAAAATTATCTCATATTGTTTTCAGCCGAGTCTTGTAATGGCGTTAAACAAACATCCGTTCATAAACTGGACGTTGTGTCTAAAGTGTGGACCAGATTAGACAATCTAGAAGGACCAGCAGAACAACTCATTAGCTTTAGGAACGACAAACACAGCTACATTTTACAGGCCGATGGCCGCCTGTGGCTGGTGGTAAATTTACCCAGCAGCATTGAATTTAAATTCCTGGTCCAGCTCTGGCATTTTGAATGCGAATTGTGTGGCGGGCTGACGTACGAGAAGCAACTGATACTTTTTGGACAACACCCAGTGGATGACCCGCCTGATGAGATACGATTGAAGAAAGTTCCTGGCCACTTTGATCGTGTTACATATTGGGGTGGCGATGGTGTTCATTCTAATTTTATTCCAATCACTCTACCTATATCATGCCTCACTGAAATCATACAAAAAAAGCTTTAACATTTGCAAGGGTATATTTATACAATTACAATACCTCAGCTATGGACAGAAAACGTATTCACTTTTCTAATTTTGCTTTTATGTTTCTCGGAGCCATTACTCATAGAATGAATGTCTTATTTCATGAAATTTTTGTTCGATAAAATAATAGTGGAGACGTTCATTTAATTAAGTCATCAACACACAATAAAATCGGAACACCGCGGGCGTATCTTAAAAAAAAGAAAACATACATCAACTATGCTAGACCTACCCTGTTCACTGGTGCCACATCAAGGGTTTCAACAGGCAAAACAAATATTCACTAAATTTATAAAGACCAAACTTATATTTGCGAATTATGAAAAGGGCAATGAAATAAAACAACGTTAAGATAGTTGAAGAAACAACTGTTCTTATTTCATAAGAATAAAGCAGATTAACAAAAATTCCCACACAGTAGGCCCCTATTCAACACAGTACATCATGTTCTAAAACAGAAACTCACATCTCCTAAAACACAATCAAAGAAACACGCATTCTAAAACAACAACAACAAACTCACATCTCCTAAAACAGAATCAAAGAAACACGCATTCTAAAACTTCAACAACAAACTCACATCTCCTAAAACAGAATCAAAGAAACACGCATTCTACAACTTCAACAACAAACTCACACCATAGTTGAAACATGTCCTAAACAAAAGTATGGTCTGAATCTTGCTTTAAGTTAGAGGTCAATTTTGGCACATTTATTGTCCAAGTGTTGCCTCTTACAGTTCACGTACATCGAATAAAGCGAACAAGAAATCTATGATTTAATGTTTTAGCTGAAAACGGTGAAAAATTATACAACATTCAAATATTTATATTAACATATACATGTTATTTGATAGTGAACTATACACAATTTAACAAACAACGGATACCAGATTTATGTTGAATGTATGTTTTTTGTGTTAACTTCTAAAAAACATGGAATAAACATGTCCGCATATCTTAACTGGCTACCATTATATTTATTTACAACTGTTCTTCATAGAAACTATGTTTTGAGAGGTGTAGTTTTTGTGTAAAAAAATCTCTTCCTGGTTGGATTCAAAAGCATTAAAAAAAATGATCTCGAAACAGTCTACATAAATTAACGCCCGAAATTGGGGAAGCATTGACAAAATGGTAAAAGCTGACAAAATAACGATTTATTCGGGACGTTATAAAGAGGCGCAATCTGAAAATGCAGACTCTTATTGGTATAATTTAGTATTATTTATTATTTAGCACCAGTTGGTTGGAGTTGAGCATAACGTAGGATGTTTATCAACGCTCTAACTTTAAATTATGACTGGTGTAAACGTGATTTATTATTTAATTTTCCAGATATTAAGACAAAGCTTGGATGATTATTTTTGCCTGAGTTTGGGTATTTTATGGAATGAAGATTTCATAATATTCAATTAAAAAATGAATGATACCGAATTGTAAATAATGACGATTTTATAATACTAAAATTAGAAATTGGATGCAACAGAACGGCAAATAATGAACATTTAATAATATTAAATTAGAAATTACATGACACAGAATTGCAAAGAATAGAGATTTAATAATATTGAATTAGATTTTAGATGATATCAAACTTCAAATAATGAAGATTTAATAATTTAAATTAGAAATAGATCATACAAAAGTACATATAATGAAGAAAAGCGTGGGTCTCTTCCTAAAAATTATTAAAGGTATCCAATAGATAATAAAATGACCCACGCTTTTGTTTATAGTTATTTAAAGAGTACAATGTTAATATATTTAACGAAAATCAATTATATTCTACATTTTAGTGCATTATTACATAAAAATTGTTATTAAAATGTTTTTTTTATGAAATTAAAATAAAATCTAATTATTAAAAAATTGCATTATGACGTTTTAATAAAAAGCTTTTATTTAATAAAGAACTTAAAAGGAGAAAATAAAAGTGTATTATTACATAATAGCCTGATTTTAAAACTTTATGCAATTCTTTTTTCAGTACTTTAAATTTCTATTTACAATAAAGTTGCATGACTAAACAATATTGCGCATCAAATGAACATGATTACGCGCGTATTGTAGTGCGGAAAGAGTAAAACAAGACTGCCTACTGATTTCAGAAAATCATCAAAAATTAATTAGGCATTAAAAAGGGGTGGGGTGACACGATGAGGCGCCGCACCAGATAAACCCAACGTCACTAAACCTCAACACTTTCTCCATCCATAATCCCGCAACTATTACTGACCATGACTATAGATCTGGTAGGCCCTACTGACGTTAGTCCCTAATTTAAACATTCATTGCGCACTTTTTATTATATTATTTAACGCACCAATGAAGCGCGTTCATAGGAAGTGATTAAAGAACGCACATTTTTATTTCCTCCTTCCCAAGTTAAAGAAACATCAGACTACTAAATACTTCTAACTGGAAAAAAAAATTAAAAATAAGGGTCTAAAGTTAAGGATGTAGTTAGAATAATTATCGAATAGATTAATCTACTAAATTGTTTTTACCCTATCGCTCAAACAAACATTTTATTACATCTTTAAATAGTTTTAGGGACTTAGGAAGTCTTAGGGTTAATCATCAATGGCTTCACTTGATTAGGGCTACGTGTTTATAGATCTAGTTGGTTTAGCCATTTTCGGTTTCATTTATCATTTCTGCCAGAAACAAGTTTTAAATTGAAAAAGGCATGCATTTTGTGTGAGGTTTTCTAATTAGATAAATATTTTATCTTCATTTCAATTATTCTACTATTAGGGCTAAGTTTTTATTAATATATATAATTAAGGCAAGGAGCGAGTGCCGACGTATTGATCCATCCGATATATAAGGTAAGAATATAGGTAAAGCCAATTTATTATTGACAATAACTTTGTAGAAGATTTTATATCATAACGTATTATATTAATTTTAACAGTATTCCACAACGTTTGTCGACGGGATGCTAATATATGTATGCTGGTGTGTAATGGCTCTTCCGGTAAACCGGGCTATGGAAATGATAAAAACCGCAATTTAGAGGGAAAAAATAGAGGTGGAATGTTCTTAAAATATGCTGCTTTATACGAGTTTGATCGAAAAATCACCTTTTGAAGGTTTTTGAGAAATCGACTAAAATATTAATTGCCGTTATCTAAAAACACTGAAAAGTTTAGAGAAACATTATAATATGATCTAATATGCATACATTACATTTCGTCCACTTCACTGAAATGGTAGTCGAAATGTCCGTTTTTGAGAAAAGGAAAATAGAATGCCAATAGCAGTTACCTGAATTATGTTAAAGTGGAAGAAACCTACGAGTACGATCTAATACTTATAAACTAAATTTTTTCAGTTGAAACATTATCGTGTTTACTCAGGGACACACGGAAACACAAACACACACACACACACACAGACACAGAAACACACACAGACACACAGAAAAACAAACACACACAGACACACAACCAACTGTACTGGTTAGATTACTAAACTGGTATTTTTGCACGATTGCAAAACATCCTCTATACTTAGTAGAGGAGAGGTCGAAATGATATACATGTTAAAATAAAAAATGAAAGAAAAATACAACCAGTTAGCCGTAAGGTTGTCGTTGGGGTTGAAGTCAAGATAGCTGTGTTTAGCCGGTGATTCGAACTAGAAACATTCTTGAGATCTACCTCGCAGTAATGTTATGTGTATGAACTAGATAAATTATATATATATATATATATATATATATATATATATATATATATATATATATATATATATATATATATATATATATATATAATTTATATGTAGATATACTCAGCGTTTATTTTGTTTTAAGGAATATGATGTTGGTAAAGCGCTTATATCCTCTAGAGGACTCTGTAGGAAATTAACACTTCGCTTAATTCATGACATGGACTAGAGGCAATAACAATTGTTTATTAAAATACAAATATTAAACAACATCTATACAGGCGTCATCTTACACAACTAGAGACCACAGGTATACCACGCCATGCATACCGTAGAAATCTGCACGAAAATCTTCAAGTGTCTGAACACTATTTGGACAGAGAAAATCCTGGTGGACTTTGTAGTTAAAATCGCAGATGAGACCATCGAATGCCATCGGCTCATCCTCGCAGCTTTTTCTCAGTTTTTCCAAGCGCTTTTTCGATCGCAGATGCGAGAGGTCACAGAGAACTACTGCGTCCTGAAGGATGTGTCCTGCAACATTTTCCGTTTGATTCTAAACACGCTTTATACTGGGGAGATCAATTTAAGCTTAGAAAACCTCTTTGAAGTTTGGAGAGCAGTAAATATGCTGCAGATAAGTTTTTTAGAAGAACTTTGCGAGAGTTTTGCTGTTGATGCTCTGAGTACCGACACATGGGAACACATTTACACAAATGCAAAGCTATTGAATTCAGAGAGGGTTCTTGCTGAGGTTCATACATTTATGTTAAAAAACTTTGATCGAATCAGTCTTTCACCAACGTTTCTACAGCTGTCGTTTAAAGAAGTGCGAGATTTGATACACAGTCAAGACCTGGTTGTTGTTAGTGAGGATTTCGTCCTTGAGACCGTTATAAGATGGGTTAAACAAGTTCCTTATCACCCATTTTCCACGCAGAACTTCTCCCCTGTTCAGTCTATTCCAGAAATAAAAAGAAACTCTTTTTTAACAAAAAGTATATCAGCTAACTCAAATCGAGGAGTTTTACAAGATATTGATGAACTTAATCCTCAATCTGCTACAGAGATGAATTCTATTATGGAAACACATTTTGAGGCAAACGAGGATTGCTATACCAAATTGTGTGAAAACCTAACAAAATATTTTTCTCGAAAATACAAACTCACAGAACTTTTGAAGCTAGTGAGGACGTGTCTTGTAAGCCCGGCTGTTTTATCTCGTGTCTACAAAATGCAAATGGTTTCGGAAAACAAAGTTTTGAGAGACATGATGTTTAATGCTTTTTTTGATGTCCAAAACTTCAGACACGGTCAGTGGCCAACAGCCGCCGTACACAGATCGTGTAGTGAGTACATAAACGCTGGAATACTTGAAAAAAGCGGCGGAAAGTTTGAAGTTTTAAGTGCACACGATGAAAACTTGTACACTATTTCAAAATGTGATTACTTAAAAGAAAATATCCAGCTGGTCTGTTTTAACAATGAACTATATGCAACAGGAAAACAACAAAACCAACCAGACGGACCTTGTAAACTTTTTGTGTTCTGTGACAACAGCTGGGATGAAATTTTAACAATGCCCGGCCAGAATTTGTTGTTGCTGTCACATGAACAATTCATTTACATCTTAAACAAAGACGATAAAAGTATTTACAAGGTCAATCCAATGAAAAGGAGAGCACCTTTAGAACGGTTTATAGATTTCCCAGACAATGTCGATGTGAAAAATGCCATG